TAAAATTATACCTTTACATAAATCGGGTAGCACATCTGACCCTACTTACTTTATAGACCTATGTCCGAGCTACCTACGTTTAGTAAGAGTTTTGAAAAAATCACGCTGGATCAAATACAAACGTACTTTTACAAGAATAAGCTTATGAATCGACAACAATTTGGTTTTACAAGGGGTCGCTCCACAACCGAAGCCGGTGTCGAGTTAATACAAGAAATTTTTAATGCCTGGGAGGATTCACATGATGCGTTAGGTGTTTTCTGTGACCTATCTAAGGCATTTGATTGTGTTTTTCATGAAACATTGATTAGGAAACTGCATTTTTATGGATTTAGAGATAACTCATTGGATTTTATTGTCTCATACTTGACTGACAGAGTACAGAGGGTTGATATCAATGGCAAAAGATCCCCTGGATTGAAAATTAAGATGGGCGTTCCGCAGGGCTCAATACTTGGTCCTTTCTTGTTTTTGATTTACATAAATGACTTGCCTTATTTCGTAAGGGATGATCACGAAATAGTTTTGTTTGCGGATGACACTTCACTCTTGTTTAAAATTAAAAGAGGGTTACCTCTAAATGACGATGTGAACAATTCTATCGCTAAAGTAGTACATTGGTTTAATGTAAATAATCTTCTCCTTAATGAAGGAAAAACAAAATGCTTAAAATTTGTACTACCTAATGTTAAAAAAGTAGATATAAATGTTAATGTAAAAGATAAGAACATGGGCCTTGTGGATACCACAGTATTTTTAGGAATAACATTAGATTCTAAACTACAGTGGGGCCCACATATTGATAGATTGTCGAGTAGACTTAGCTCTGCAGCATATGCCGTAATGAAGATACGTAGGTTAACTGACATAGATACTGCCAGATTAGTATACTTCAGTTACTTTCATAGTGTTATGTCGTACGGTATCCTATTGTGGGGAAATGCTGCCGACATACAAACAATTTTTGTGCTTCAGAAAAGAGCAATTCGATCAATTTATAATCTTAGGATTAGGGACTCTTTAAGTGAGAAATTTAAGAAATAGACATTATGACTGTTGCTTCTCAAACATATACGAGAACTTAATGTACGTTCGTAAAAATATTAGTTTGTTTTCTATAAAAAGTGATGTACACAATTTTAATACAAGAAATAAAAATAAATTAACGGTGCCTGTCACTAGACTGCAAAAAGTTAATAACTCATTCAGGGGTCTTTGTGTGCGTTTCTACAATAAGGTACCAAGCAAAATACAACAATTAGATATCATGCAGTTTAAATCTACTATTAAAAAAATACTTATTAAAAAAGCTTATTATAAGGTATCTGATTATATAACAGATAAGAATGCTTGGACTTAGATGATCCAGCAACTGGATAGGTGATTACTTCTAAACTCATTATATCTGAAAATTATCATGTTCCATTATTAAATGATTATGTTATCATTATAAGACCATAGTTTTTTTTCTCTCTCTTTATTTATAATCTATTGATCTGGTAATGACATGGTTTTTGTAAATGTCATTACTCCATTAACTGGTGAGTTTCTTGCTCGTTCTTCTTATCAGCCAAAAGACGTCTCTGAACGAGTGGTAGGAAAAAATGTTGGGCGATTCAAAAGTACTTTTAATAAATCTATTTGAATAAAGATTATTTTGACTTTGACAAGAAGTAGTAGTTTACCCACCAAAACTCAGCGATGTCCCTCGCATGGAAGACGATGCACGGGATCGGCCCGAAGGCCACACGCCACGCGGACTAAAAACCGTTCCTTTTAACTAACATTAAAAACTGAAATTTGCAAAGTTTGAAACTTAAATATCAATACAAATATGAAAAAGTACAAATAGAAAATGAATTGTTTATTGAGTTATGAAAATTAATTTATTTTTATACATGAAAGAAAAATGGCAGGGTTGTCATGGAGAAATCAAGACTGTAGTGACATCTAGTTTGATTTTTAAACACTTCCTCATATACTTTGTTTCATTTATAGTAGCGAATAATGTAAATAAACAACTCGCCGAAACTGTTGATGGAGTTTTCATAATGATCAAACGACGAAATGCAACCGAAAACATTTGTTAACTTGGATAGTCACTTTTAACACCTCTCTTTAAAGAAACATTAGAGAAATAAACAGTAAAATCACAGTTTTCACGAAAATTATATATTTCAAACTAACGATTGACGTGTCACTGACAGTTCAAAAAAAAATGAGCTAGTGATGAGAACATATAAATGAGTGATTGAAGGAGCAACTCAGTCGGACATATTGAAATAGTTGATAAAAAATTTGGTATTATGTAGTAAATACATGCAAGAATATATTTGGCGTAATAATAATACTAAATAAAATTAGGAAACTAGGAAAATAATTTAATGAAATAATAATGTAAAAGTTAATTTTAACATTTGAATCATGCGCAGTATTCATTGTGCCTATAAAAATCTACTGAACTGGAATATTTTTTACAATTTCGTTCAAGTTTTAAGTTTCATTAAAATACATGGTCCAAACAGTCGTTTGTTTATACGGGAAATGATCCAATCGATGCGAAGGGGAACGAATGTGTGGGGCATGCGGCAGTGAACGGTAAATCTCATTTGATGTTTGTTTGTTTACTCAGTCTGGATCTGGTTTGTCAACCGTACGATAATATAATGCATTATACTATAATATATGTATTAAACTTATCGTTCGTTTCTCCCTTTCATTCGAATGTGGTGTCTCGGGTGCTTTTTAATTACTGTGTTTGATTTTTATGAAGACTTGGCCTCGAACTTCTATTACTTGTTGTTTCTCGATTTGGATAGTGTTCTTTATTGGATCGACTATTTTTATAAGGCATCAGGATAGTGTACTTTGTGATATCAAAAGTGCGTTTTTTTTTTAATTGAAATCATTCAAGGATTCTGATTTTTCTATCAGTTATATACAAGACCATTTCGTAATCAATAAGGTAGGTTTTTTATATACCTATTATTTATATTATATGTATCAAACAAATTACTTTCAGATTGAACATCTTTTTAACAGTTTATTTCTTGCACTATATGTTGGTCATAACATTTATCAATTAATGAAACCAAATCGTATTGAGATTGATTTCGCTTTTCTTTGTTTAATACCAAAGGTACCACAATGAAAAGGATGTACATAATATTGAGCAATGTTAAACAAATTTTTATTTAATCTTTAGTATTATAAGCTCGAAAATGTAGAATATATATTTTTGATTTAAGTATATGTATTTCTGAACGAATATGCGGATAAAGTCGTAGGTAAATGCTAGTTGAGAAAAGATGTAGTATTTTATAATATGAACATTGTTTGGTGACATAAAATATAACCTAAATATGATTTCATTTTTAGTAACTTAAATAATTAAAAATTTGTTAACTTTTCACTTTGAAATAATGTATTATTTAATTTTGTTTACAGGTTCTGTAGTCGTGATGGATAATGCTCCCTACCATTCCAGAAATATTGACCGTCTCTCTAATATGACTTGGAGGAAGGCCGATATACAATAGTAGCTGCGTGAAAAAGAAATCAAGTTTGAAAATACAAAAATCAAAGCGCAACTGCTAGCGAAATTCGATAATATAAAATTTCTAAAAAAACAAAATTAGCAGCCACTGAAAATGTAACGATTTTGCACCTTCCTCCATATCACTGTGAGCTTAACCCTATTGTGGGGAGAAAGAACAAAAAAACTTTTTAAATACAGAGGCCAAAACTGGTAGAAGAAGGATTAAAAAATATTGGTGTGCTAGCATGAAGAAAATGCATCCGACTTGTAATTAAGGTGAAGGAAAAGATGATGAAGTTGGATGGTCTCATAGACAACATGATAGACGAAATAACCCCGGCATTTTTAATCCATGTGTCTGAAACGGAGACAGAATCTCCAGTAGACGAGACAAGTGAAAGTATCTAAAAAATTCATATTCAGGGGAAAATGCATTGCAATATTTTAAAAACTTTATCGATGGGCGTTTCAAAGTTTTAATCTTTAGGAGGCAGAGTATATTAAAAAGTATCTATATTTTTATAAAAAAAGAATTATTTTCCATAATAATATCTCTACAATGGTTAGCAATTTTAGATTTTCATTAAAAAAATTAACTGTTAACTGTGAAACTAAGATTAAACGACGAAGTAAAATACAATAAAACTTAATATTCACCAAGAGTAGAGAGTAGCTTAATATTTATTTCCCATGAACCCTCATTTCCAATTAATATGTTGTATATAATTAGGTAAACTTGTCCAGTTGTCATACTAATACATGGATTTTTTTAGAATCTAATAACATACTTTTTATTATATAATTTTATACGACTCATGACATAAATGAGATAGTTCAATCAATCAAATTTTTAATAATGTGTCCCATTACTAAAACTGACATTTCGCCATTTTTGTTTATATTTTGTGCCAGTTTAAATAAAACAATGTATATATACTATAATGAAATGCTACTGTTCTACTCTCTCAGCTAATTTTTTTTTATTCAAACATTGAGCAGTCCTGTTTATGTATAGATTCTTGGTTTACTAGCGCCACCTATTTCCATTTCGATTTGATTTTGTAAATTGTATTGAAATGTGTTTCATTGCAACATTTAAACATTCTTTTTCCGTAAAATCGATGTCATTATTGATGTTTTCAACGTGGTTTTAATGAATAGAGAACGAACGTATCAGATACAATAACAATATAAGACTAAAGATGTAAAATGAAATGATTCAACTGTTTACTTACTTTCTATTTAGAAATTGGGATAAATTTTTGACTTAGTTGCTATAAAGTGATGTAATAAAGTCAGATTAATGTGTATTAGGTGTTGTAATTTGTAGTACCTACAGCTTTGGTTAAAAATCGAAAGGAAGTGACTTAAGTGATTGTTTATAAAGTAGGTAGTTAATAATTCTGGATTATCTCATAAGAGCAAGCTTGTTTGTTCAGTCTTGGTTTATAAGAAGTAAGGAATGGAGTCAGAACATCATCCTAAGTTAAATCCAGTGAGAGTGTTTCAAGGTAAATTATTTATTTGGTGAGCAGTAGTTCATTTGCTAACCAAAGAACTGTTACTAATGTTGTAATCTCCACAGCACTTCATGGAAATTCTGTGGAAAATGAAGAAAATCATACAAGTCTATCTGAATACCATGACTATGAGCCAAGATTGGAATTTGATGACTCTGAATTGATTCAAACAGCAGGTCTTGGTATGTTTTATTGACCTATTTTAGCTAAGTAATACAATTTTAAACAGTAGTAAATTGAATGTGTGTTTTTTTGTAAAAATACATATTAATTTGTTGACAAAAAATAAACAATAGTAGTTTGTGATTTATGAGAGTTTGCTTCCACATATTACTCCATAATGCACATTTAACACTAATATTTTTAGAGGTCTTTATACTAACAAAATATTTAGTCATACAATACCTTTACACATTATGATGTGTATGCTTACCTCTGCTTTTCCCTGACAGGATAACATAGTATTTAATAAAATGCCTAATTTACATTTACCTACATTTTAGCTGAAGTAAAATATATTCACAGCGTGTGTGGTAAAATATTACTTTTAAGTATTTATGATAAATTCTACACATCCAACTACAATAAAAGCTCCTTTTTCACATTTTCGTTATCATCAAAAGATTGAGACATAATTTGCAGTCAGTTAGACTGTAGGTACTCAGAAAATAATCAATAATTTGTAAACTTAAAGGCTGCACGCTTTGAATAAGTATTTAATCATGTTAAAGATATTATACCAGTCTATAATTATTTAACATAGTTCTATTTAATAGTGAAAAACAATTGTTGAAAAAGAACTATATTTATTCTTACTTATGTATTTTTGATCACACTACCTTCAAAAAGGAATTGTTGCTTGGTTTTGTTTTTATCTTCTTCTCAAAGGCAATTTAGTAAAATTATTTTGATATCAAATATTATATTGAGGGTTCACAAGTAGAATTCATTAAGCTACATTTTTGAAACTTTATAGAAAAGCATTTTAAATTTCCAGAAAAAAAATATCATCATAAAAGAATCCTTATTTATATGAAAAAATTTCTTAATCTATTTTCCATAATTAAATTCTCACATTATAGTCTACTTAATTTTTTTTTTCAAGTTGTTTATGTAACAGGATAAATGATTCAACAGTCATCAACTGTGAATTTAAGGTTCAGGAAAAATAATTTTAGTGACACTGGTGTTTTTACAGTAAGGCTATTTTATAATTATATATATTATGCACCAGAGGTTGTCCTGTGAATGCTGTTTTATTTTTGTAATGAAGGATAACACCAAACTGCTTTGTTTGTGTATGATCTATGTATGTGTTCCTTCATTTGCTATGTGTGTATGTGTATGTGCATTTGCACCTGCTATTTTATGTTTTGCTTGGTACCATGATAAAAATAATGTAGTCACTGTTAATAATATTTATAATCTTCTACTATACATATATAAAACAATAGCTGTTTGTTTGCCTCCCTTAAACTCGATAATTGCTGTACGTAGTTAAGGGAAGGTTTAAATGATGTGAGGTGATAAAAATCTAATCTGTATGTATATAAATGAATTGCTGTTTGTGTATATTGCTAAAATTCGGGAACAGCTGATCTGATTTTGTTAAATTTGGTTTTCAAATGATAGTCTATTTAGTATTTGTTATATTAATGCATAATTATTACTCTAATGTCAATAGCTTTGAAAGTTTAATAATAATAATAATCTTTATTGGTTGTGATAAAAGTTTCAAACGACATACAATAAAAGATAATTTACGAAGTACCAGGTATCACTTTTTTTAAAAGAATACACTAACTGAAAAGGTTGAAACAAGATTTAAATTTGTATCTTTTTAGCTTGATAAATTACCAGGTTGGTTCAGAAAGTGAAAGATAATAGTCCATATTTTTTTTACTTTCTCATTGCATTATTTTTATTAGAATCATGGTAATGATAACCATAATATACCTTTTTAAAACCCTTGTATTGAACCCTTTAATTAAATACCCATATTGTAGTATTTTAATAAAAATAATCATTAAATATTATGGCATCACACAGCAGCCATATTTGTTTTTTTAATGTCATCATCTAAGAAAACTTGTGCTGCTAAGAGGAATCTAACAATACCAATTATGTAAATCCTTGCAGCGGTTCTTAAGATATGAGCTACCTAATAAAGAATATTATATACATCAGAACATTTTACATACACATACAAAACAAGCGCGAAAAACATAACCCTTTCTTTGCAGTCAGTTAACTATTTTAATCAGTTACATTTGACCTTACGAAGCTTAGGATGACATTAATAAAAATGATGGTTATAACAAGTATGTACAATTAATGGTAGATTTCTAGAAAAGGCCATAGATGGGCTATGGCTTTATCTAAAATGGCACAAATGAGAAATGTGTGAGGTTGGATAGTGGACTATTAATATTTTAGTCAACTGAATCCTTGATTGTGTGAAAATGTAGCCCTAATTATCTATCAGGCTGAGAGATCAACTGTCAGATGACCAATTAGAATCAATCTAGGATTCGACTAGGATTGGATAGACAGATTAATGTTGTTTCATGACAGATCAATCTTCAGTTAGGTGTGGTTCTAACCTCTAGCAAGGTGGAGACTTATGTTATTCCTAATAATATACGCGACTTCGCCCGTGTAAAACCTATCACAACCTATGTCATTCGCGTATGATGTATTTTCGCAGCTTATTCAATGCAAACAAACAAATAATAAAGTCTTTCGTCATTATTAGATCCCGTAGTTTTTGAATTTGTTACAATCAAACAAAAAAGCTCCCTTTTGTGACGTCAGCATAGATACCGAACATCATAATAAATCTAGAAATTTAATGATCACAAAAAATAAAATTACAATTACTCTTTGTTTATCCAGAAGTCCATTGCCATGAATGTGATTTTTTAATAATGTATAGTGTTAGGTTTTACAATTGCTGAAGATGTTCTGTGGAGGGGCAAAATATGTATTTCATAATTGATATTTGGTGTATATTGTGGCATTTGTCGTTGTTTGTTTCACATATGTTTATTTGCACATGTGTCGGGCAGGTAATAATTGGACCTGTTTAATAACTGCCTGGTTAATTGTACTGTTAAAAAACTGCCTGGCTTTAAACGATTTAGAAAAGTTCATCCATTTGAGGCTTTCCATGAGTGCTTCAACTATGAGGAACTATTATCAATATTGTTTGACAGTACCATTCACGGAACAATACTTGAAAATACAATGACATATTAAGTGATTGAGTATCCATAAATGAATTGCATATCCTGCTCATATCTGTCGGCATTCTATTTTGAGCTTTGCATCCCTACCGTAGATATTCAAATGACTTTATAACAACTATATGTCAAGTCTATTTGGTTGATTAGAAAATTGCATTTAAATCAACTCAACACTTGTTAGAGTTGAAGGCAACATAAATGATAGGTTGTAAAGTATTTTCCGTGTTTTCAATAACATGTCTCATGACTCTTTAGTACTGCCGCATATATGGTTTTTAAATTATATAATAGGTTGGGGGATATATTTTCTCGCATTTTATATGAAAATTCAAAACTAAATAAACGTTCTTTTAACTAAGTATGTAGGTACCATTTTGTGCGATAACTTTTTGCCATCTTGTAGGACATGATCCCATTCGTATAAAATTTTTGGGGCTCCTGATCAGAAAACCGCGACAAGTGGTTTTGGCAGTCCTTGTGTGATGTTAACCTGACACTGACTAAAGAGACCGAAATAGGTGGAAATAGTGGATATCTGAAGGTGCAAGGTCAGGATTATACGGTGCGTGCGGTGTATGGCCTTCGGGCCGATCCCGCGCATCGCCTTCTATGAGAGGGACAAAGGATTATACGGTGGATCCATGATACTTCCCAGCCAAACTCTCGTAAAGATTGCTTAGTGGCAAAATATATGTGAGGTCTAGTGTTATTATATTGAAAAACCACACCCCTTCTATTGATTAATTCTGACCCCTTGCTCTCAACTTTAATCTCATCGGTTGTTCGCAGTGGAGTTCAGAATCGATAGTCCTGCCTGGCGGTAACAGCTCATAATGAATTATGCCCTTCCAATCCCACCATACACACAACATCACCTTATTGCGAGTTAACCCGAGTTTCACAACAGTCTGTAAAGCCTGAGCGACCTTTGACCACAGCCTTTTTACTTGCCGTACGTGATCCACTTGTCATCACCAGTTATCAGCTACTTCAAAAATGGTTCGGTTTCATTACGTCGTAAAAAAGTCGATTAGTGCACGGTTCTTTAGGTTTATTTTATTTATATATTCGGAATTATCTTCTATAAAATTGAAACTTTTTAATGATACCGAAACTGACTAGATACAAATTGTATAACCAGAAAGAATTTATTACAAGTTTATGCATACTATATGCGAAAAAACTTTTCCCCGATGTAATATACAAGTTATCCTTGAGACTAGAATTTTATTAAGTATTAGTATTATATCACCGTGAAATTGTGAACATCGTTAGTTTAAAATCTGTCGCATTAGATTATAAACTATCATGGGTAAGATTAGATTATTGTTGAATTATATAAAAAAGCTTCGATTATAATTCGAGGCACAAAATATAAGTACTAATCAAAAACTGATCAAAGTAGCAAGTTATAAGTTTCATTCAATTCATTATATTGTTTTAAATTTTCCAAGTAAAGCAATACAACGATGCATCAGATTTACACATTCATCCTTAGAGGTCTCCTCGAAGAACTTTTGAAACGCAGCAACTACGTCCTCGGCGGCCATAAAACGTTTTACTCGAAGTTTTTCTTTTATTTTTCGAGAATAAATAAAGATCGCAAGGTGCAAGGTCGGGTCTATACAGCGAGTAACCACTAATTGCACGACTGTTTTGGTACATTAGGAACATATTAGACGTGTCACTGGACGATAGTTTTGCTGGTTATTAAGGGTACATATTTGACGGAAGATCCGTCAAGTGTCTCACAGAAGTATGGATCCAACGCGACTGATCATGCGTATAGAGTGCAAAGCTGAATCTTAATTCATATATTTTGTTTGTTTTCATGTACCGGGATGATATGCTAAGCATTTCGGTTAAATATATATAGACCCTTACAGTCATGTAAATATTGTTTTATTTAATTAAGCTAGACATACTAAAAGCCGATATACGAACGCTTTCTAGAGATCTCTCATTTTTGGTTTGATTGCAGCTCCTTTACCCCCAGAGCTTTTAGACATACCTGAAGAATTTCTTGAGCATTCTGCTAGTGATGGAACTATTGAAGAGAATTTTGAAGAGGAATTGGCTCGGGCGCCGGAAGTTTATGCAGAGGTTGGTCAAATGAATTTATGACTGTAATAATTGGTGATTATGTATAGTTTGACTTGGATAGGCTTCCACCATCACTTTCAATTCCGCTTTATTTATCTATGTGGGCGGTCTTCCACGAGATTCGTTCTAAATAGTCAGTTTCCATTGCGAAAGCGTTTATACCATGAATGCACGGTGCAATAAGTAGCAGTCTCCTCTCCAAACGCAGTATTGATTTTGCGATCTGTTTTATCCGCGTTACATCCGCGTACATCCGCGTTATTCAAAGATTGCTCGGATTTTTCGAAGTATATATCTTTCCCGTCTAAATATGGATACTTATTTTGGTATCTATCTTTAGACGGGAAAGATGGATACTTTTTTGATACATAATAAGCTGAATAAAAAAACCTTTGAAAGTTGATAATCGAAATTCGAATCGAATTTTTAAATAAACCTAATAACTCAGTTATCATGCACATAAAAAGTTTCACTAATAAATCTCACACCATGAAGGTTTAATGTTAATTCAAAATTATGTAAACACAACAATTTCATACTTATTATAAGTACTCTAACAATATATCAAGACATTTTTCAGTATAAAAGATAAATTAATTAATATAATAAATTAATTTAGATATCTGGATCATCCCTGGAAGACGATAACTTCGCAGATTTGAACGGAACTAGATTAATCGAAGTAGTCGGCGATGACGAGATGGGACGACGTATCATAGTCGTATCCGCCTGTAGGCTTCCACCCAGCAAAGATTTGCATCCTGACAAACTGTTAAGGTATTTGTGAATATTATATAAGCAGTATTTGTTATTGAGTATTTGGAATATCAAGATAGCATAGCTGGAACAGGAAACTACTTTAAAAGTTAATAATCTTTCTCGGCACTTGAGATTAACTGATTTTAGTGGCCCTTTTACGTGCATACTATCCCTTCATATATCTAGGGGGTGTGTGGGACTGTCCCGCCTCACTTCACCTCCTACATTGGAATCCGTCGTCCCCCGACGCGATATTGACATAGACTGAGCCATATTTAAGGTGGCAAACTGTCTCTCTGTCACTGTCAACCTATCTATCTCTATGTATGTCTCTTAATACCTTAAGTATTTAAATTCATCGATACCATAGATTTTCGGCAATACACTGTAGACCCATATCTGGTATAAATTCGGAGAACTATATTGTATTTGTAACCCTTTCAGCTATTTTATGTTTACTCTGGATAAATATGTGGAGCAAGATTATAGCGTTGTATATTTTCACTGTGGACTGACTAGTAAGAACAAACCGCCTATATCATGGTTATGGAAGGCGTACAAGGCATTCGACAGAAAATACAAGAAAAACCTGAAGGCGTTGTACCTGGTGCACCCGACTAATTTCATAAGGATCGTGTGGCAGATGCTTAGACCGGCAATCAGTGTTAAGTTCGGAAGGAAGATGATGTATGTGAACTATTTGTATGAACTAAAACAACATTTGAATCTGGATAAGCTGTGCATACCGAGGGCAGTGCTTGAGTAAGTTCTCTACTTCTATTCTACTCTTTTACTAATCTTCATTACGGTACCAAATACGGTAGAAATTTTATCTCTACATATTTCTTACAATTCTTGTAATGATGCTGCTATCCATCCACAGATATGATGCTTTGCTGTTATCCAAGAACCCTCGAGCTGCAGAAATGGCTAAAATAAGTAATGAACATCCGGAGAAGCCACTAGACGAAGGTGACACGAAATCGGGGCCAATAAAAAGTCTGTCTCCTCCCCCGACACAACAGTTTGGCGTTTCCCTCCAATTCATCAAAGAGAATAACGCTAATATGGTGGAATCCATACCGCCTGTAGTCAAGCAGTGCGTCGAGTTCTTATCGCAACCAGACGGTTAGTGATACACTAATTGATTGCTAGATAACGCTAAAGGACATACGGAAAATTAATTTTCATCTAACCTCATTTTTATTTTCGTTCCATAATATATTTTACGTTTGCTGCTAACATAGGTATAACACATACACAGAGATCGATTATAATAAATCTCTATTAGATACACTATTGTATGATTTGATTTACTTGTGGCACACGATCTTAACGATCGTATTAATTAAGACATTCTTATTTTGGCCAGTTTACAATATGTTCACTTGACGAATTTGGATTTAATTTTTTAAAAGTTAGATTCGTGGAAGGTATATATTTTTGTTTAATCATCATCATTAGCCCTTTGATTGGATGACCTATTGTGGGGACTGCTGGGGCAGAATTAGCCATAAACCACTACGCGGGTCTAATGCGGATTCTAACGTCTGCAGACTGCAACTGGAACCAACAAACAGCAAAACGTGTCTACCAAAAGTCCCCTGGCCCTTTGCTTAACCCCATCGCAAATCGAACGCGCTCACTAATACGCTATCGAAGAGAAAACTAAATTTTAACAGATAAAGATAATTTCATATTCATTTTTAAATTAGTAATTTCGTAATTCAAAAATTTTCAATTCAATTTTCAAATAGTTCCAATATTTATTTATTTTATTGTAAATACTTCTCGATTTAGTTTCACTATAGGATTTTTATTTTTCACAGCCCTAGAGACCGAGGGAATATTCCGTAGGTCGGCGAACATATCAGTTATAAAAGAGCTGATGAGGGCATGTAACAGAGGAGAACCGATCTCGTTCAATAACGATCCGCACGTTGCCGCAGTCCTACTCAAAACATTCCTGCGAGACCTCGAGGAACCCCTCATGACATTTGAGTTATATGACGAAATACTCAAGTTCCAGAGTGAGTATTTTTATATTAATTGCTGGTTTTGTTGCTTATGTGCGGGAAAATCTATAATCTATTTTTCTTTTTATCTGTCTGTCAATTGATAATTGTTTGGTCTTACGGCTGGGTGTGAAGACATCAAGACTACATCAACGTGCCCGTTAATGAGATATGCAGCTAGTTGCATAAACTTCCATTTAAATTCACATTAGTTTAAAGCGACATTACCTATACAAATTTGACATACATTACAGCTTAATGGCGACATTAAACCTTAATGGACGTTAGTGCAACTGGCCGATAGGGTAACAAAAATTATTCGATTACTCACACTATGAATCAAGGAAAAAACAAATGCTTTCACAAATACTTCATATGTTGAATTTGGTAATTTGCGCAAATAATAATAGCAATTGGCTAGGATATGAAAAAGCAAACTTAGTAAAATTTTGTTTTAAAACCTGAACAGAGGACACATTACGATTTTTTTTTACTGGTTATTGATTGATTTTGTATGATTTCAGCTTGGTCTCACAGAGATAAACCGAGGCAAGTCAAAATATTAATCCTAGAAGGTTTACCATTGGACAACTATAAACTACTAAAATTTATTATCAACTTCTTATGGAAGGTCTGTTAAGTATATTGAAACTTTTCAATTTAATAATAGAGTAATTTTCATTAGATATTCTTTTTAAACAAAACCGAAAAAACGAGATATGTTTTATTTTATGTTTTTCATTGAATCCGATGCTAAATCGAATAACATTTAGATGTATAGTAGTGTAGTAGTCGATAGCTCTTAAAATAGTAACAGAAACCGAATTTTGATGATTTTATTACCTTTAGTATTTGCAATTAGTAGTAAGTTTAAATTAAAAATGTTGTTGTAAAGAATTATTTTGAATTATACTGAAAAATAAATGAATATATACATACACAGGTTCAGGACAGAAGTTGCCTTAACAAAATGACCAGTAGCAACTTAGCAGTGGTTTTCGGTCCGAACTTAGCTTGGCCGCCGAAGGGGCAAATGTCACTACAAGCCATTGCACCAATCAACGCGTTCACAGATTTCCTACTTGAGAACCAGGAGTCCATATTCATCATCTGAACAGCGATTGTAAAATATAGGAAAGTATACTATTTATTCTGTAGTTGCTTATGCGACAAAAAGAGTACTATACAAAATAGATTATATAATTAGGCATTTGAATTACAACTGAAGGATTTTAACTATTGAAGTGTATAGATAAAATATTAATATATATAGTCCGACTTTATATTAGCTGCAGTAAAATAACAGTTCATTTGTTACCACTTAAAAATATATATTAATAGTGACGTACCAAAAAATAGTGAATATTAATTTAACAAATAATAATTGATAAAACAACACTAACAGACAAACACAACGTAATACATACATAATGGAATACCACGATAAAGATTCGTGAAAAATCTAAATAGAACAGTTGTTGTTATATAAATATACATTTTTTTTTTCGATTTTAATCGTTAATAATGTTGTCAAACATATATTGTCATATAATTTGTAAAATAAAAATGTATTTGTATGTCACTCTTGTGTACATGCTCGTCATAATTTCTATCTTCTTTTCTTCTTTTCTTCTCTTCTTATTGGCTTATCCATTTCATTTCTAATGTCAAAATTCAATAATAATTCGAAATAATGTTTAGGTTGACGACAGCTTTGCCAGCCTCTTTAAATAAGTGTTTTAATATTTTTAAATTTGATTTTTTTATGACTTTGTCACTTATCGCTTAATTGTTCTTATTGTTGTCTTTGCTGTCTCTCTCTGTGTTAACTTGTGTGTTATAAAGTATTCTTTTAAAAATATAATTACATCTTCTTTACTAAATATTTATTTAACTACAGTCCACCGTGCTTGCTGTCGATAACAGTTTATGACATTAGAGCATAGACAATCTGTAGATTAACAAGGCGGACGACCTTTTCACTAGTGTAAGAAAGAATACTATTTTAAATTACAATATTTTTTTATTATTTATGTATCAAAATTTTGTTCTTCGTGTGTTACCTGGAATAGATTGCTACGTAGCAATAAGGCCACCTTTTCTATAAGGCCACCTTTTCTCTTTTCTAGCTTCTTTGTAATATGTCTTTTGTGACAGATAAGAGTATCATGATCATCATCACCAGCCTATTAATGTTGTGCTAGGGCTCAGGCTATCCCTATCGATGGAATTGACCACAGAATGGGTCATGACCCACCATGCGGAGCCACATTGATAGGTGGCAAGACAAACGGCATAACGTGCCTTCCGAAGCACGGAGGAGTACGTGATAAAAAGAATTGTCACTAATCCTATAAAAAGCAGTTGCGAAAGTTGCTTAGAATTTCGCATTCGTATCGCAAACCGATCGCGCTAGTCATGTCATTGAATGTTTCTTTTTCTCAGCAGATGCGTGTACTAAGAACCGATCACGGCCTATATCATGTGAATTGGCTCGTTATGTAATGTTGTAGGTTTTTCATTTAAAACGTTTTGAAAGTGAATTCAAATTTCTATTTAGTGGTTTATGATATCTAATTATCACCAAAGTTAATTATTTTGGTAAAATAAAATTTTTGCTAACCACAAACCAAACCTAATTAAATATCGATGCAGAATAATTCAATTACTTTTTTACTACATCACTAGTAGGTAATTATGTGGCAGTATTATTTCACAAAATGACATTAGGAAATGTCATTTTCCTGTAGATAATGAAAAGTCGAACTATAGGTATTTTTATGTTAAACGGTTTTATTTAAGTTAATAATGATGCAGTTAATTAGAATTAGGTGTGGTCGACCAAAAATATGGTCTACGTGAAACGCCATGAAGTAATAGGATTGGTAACCCATGCAATAATATTATAAAATTTATCATTTCACACATCTTTGTTATATTTACGTTATACTTTGTGTCAAGTTAAAAAAAGAAAGATTATTATCTCGAAATCCAAATAAATATTTTTTTTTTATCGCCTCTTTACATATAAGGTACCAACGTGATATGGGCTGAATTTTGTAAACGCAAACATACTAGTAGAAAGAGAAATCATTAAACTGATTTTCTTTCTTTCTTTTTTTCTCAGTGGCTCAATTACACAACGCATTCAACTTGCAGTTGCTAATTATTTTTAGTTCATTAGGCAATTTATCGAACAGCTTCACAGCTTGGAAATTAACTTTATGTTTGACCACATCTAGCTTAGGAACTGTTAGACTTACCTTGATCGATTTTGCCGTGGGTGCGAACGCTGCCTTAAAACTAAAACTGTAAAATGGAACGCATCCTTGTTGGTTTAACAAGTGACCGTTGTTGTCGTCTATCAAAAAGTTATTACCGGTGAACTTTTACCGCTCTTTTAAATAATTTGCATAAAACAACATTTGCCAGCAGATTCCCATAATTTTAGTCATTAAAGCCCCCGAGGGGGACCAGAGCGCTAATTTCAATAGAAAAAAGACTACTGCAAGTGCTGGATCAGCTGGTGACCAGACATCAGGTACTCAGAGTTTTAGCTGCTGAAACAGGAACTCTCTCATGCTGCGTGTGAACCCTTCTTGTTCTTTCACGAAACTCTCTGTCAAGAGTTTTCCCTTTGCGTCAACGTTTTTACATTACGGTGAGAATAATCAGTATATATAAGTTAGGTAAAGTAAGTTTACAATATTGTTTGAAGTAATCTTTCGAACTATTGAGGGATGCGTGCAATCACTCTTAATTGTTCTTTTTTGCGATCTAATATCTTTTTATTATATTGCAATTATAGCTGTTTCTCCATAATTTGATACTATAGTGCAACTGGGTTTCTAAGATAATTATAGAGTAGAAGATTAAAAGATTTCAATAAAACAAGAACAAAGTCATCAAACGATTGAATACGAAATAAAAAAATATAAATAAGACAAGAACAGTGCAATCTAGGAATTGGATTTATAATTAATATTCATTCACTACAGTGACGTCACACAATGGCGAGTCGTGTTTCAAGTCACGTGACACGATCTATGGCTTAGAATTCAAAATTAATCTTTTTTTTTCTATTATTTTTCATATTTTTTGATGTCAATTGAAAAGGGGTGGTAAATTTTAATAACTAGATGTGATTCACCACGTTGAGCTAAATAAAACCGTTTAATAAGAAATTGTCTAAATATGGATTTTTTATTAAATCTGTCATTAATCATTATTTATTTTGTTTTTGAAACAAAGTGCATCTAAAATATGTACTGCTTATATGAAATTTTATATAGATTACTATGTTGATGACAATCCATTTTATAATCATGATTTGGTCATTCACAATGTAGACCAAGCAAAAAGTATACAATTATACAAATTATTCATACTTTTAGATAATAATGTTATTTAGTTTATCACTAATTATAGGGTTTAATAGGTTATTGTTACTTTTATCTAATGGTGTATTTTAATTTAGTGTTAAGTACGTATACCAAAAATAACAAATGATCTAGTTTTAAAATTTTATTCACTGAGTTTTATGTATAAATCATGTATATTTTAAGTATTATCACAAACATTGTTGACAAAGCCATACTATATGTATATCGGCTACTAGTTGCGCATGTAACGAAGCTGTTACGACTTGAAAGTATTTATTTACATAACGGCATTTTCTCAAAGGCGTTCAAATGTAAAAAAAAAAATGGTAAACTTAGTTCTCATATTGTGAAAAATTTTAGCCACCGACATTACGGTACCAAAGACAAGAAATAGATGTTTCATCTATTTCACATCATGTTACTCATTCGCACCCAATAAGTGAAGTGTCTGTCAGCAAGTTATATGTTTTGAAATTGATTTGTTTCTATTATATTTGTAACTATTTGTCGTTATTCTGCTAAAAATGCAATCGAAAACGGCGTCGACGTTAGAGGTTCAATCAAATAAAACCTGCTTCGAAAGCTGTGTTCGACTTTGTATTTTTATAGAATACCCAAGCTAATTTTTATTTCTGATATCAAAATACTGTTTTAAATTATGTTATTCTTAATTTGTGTATTATTATATTAATCAAGTTTAGTTTTATTTATACATTAATGATAATGATTTGCTGGCTTTAAAGTTATCGTGAATCACCATTTGTATTACATTATTGTAAATTATGAAAGATTATAAAGTTAAAAAATTGATCACAGTGAAACGTATTTGGAGACTGATGCATTTTTTAATGTCGAGAAATTGCAAATAACAAGATGAAAACACTTGATGAGTTATTACTTGTCGCCTTTTTGAAACCACGATATTTTCCTAGTGAGCTTTGATTTAAAGCTGGAATCTAAATTATAATATGTATAAAAAACATAACATATATTGTATATAGTCTTCCAAAAATTATTGTAAAATTATTATTGTATAAAAGGAATTGAAGCAACTGAATGATAATAAAAAACACCGCGGCTGAACATAATGTTATTTAAATACGTTTACGTACAAAAATGTTGGCGGTTTGTGAACTTTCGCAATGATGGAGGAATTATGATTTGGTTATTGGGAGTGTTTGTGAGTATACACATATTTGCGTTAAGAAATGGTTCAAATGTAAAGAGATGAATTTCATTATGCATTTAATTTTTATTCGTTGGTTGAATAATGTTTGTTTTTATTTCAAATGCCATGTACTTGAACCTTTGCATCTTGCCTATTTTAATGATTTCCTTAAAAGATTATTTTATTTTGGCATAATTGCAGATATATTTATATGTTTTCTTTTTGAATAGTCGTAGTATGTTATTTTAATACATCACAGGTTAAATCATATACACATACACTGCTATTAATAAACAACGTTTAGCGTCGGAATAAATTTACACTAAAATTGCAATTTTAATATTAGTTCAAATTCATATTAAACAGAGAATAAGCAAACGATTAAACATTACTTCTGTAGAACCTCGTACTAAATTAACCTTTGCTAAGTCACGCTAAACCTTGTTTATAATACTAATAACGTTCAACAAAGTATTGAATATTGAGTGCATTTTGATTTAAACGGAAGTCGAGCAAAATCGATGTAACTCTAGTTGATGGTTGGACCCGCCGATATCGTTGTGT